TGGACTTTATGGTGGCATTATCTGAAGAAGACTAATACTCTCCACAAAAATATTACCCACCTCCCTAATACAAATCCCACCTTCACACAGCAAACTACAGAGCTGAAGTGTGCACAGCAAGATTTCTGACTACTACCATACCACACCCTACCTCACCCCCTTTTGAGACATACATTACTCATCACAATTACCTAAGGACATAGAACATCGTCCTGAATTAATGCTTTCCATTTATGACAACATGGGCACCCTCCATATTTGTGTCATTGTAATCACCTCTGATCCAGCAGAGTAAAATTTATGCTGCTTCTGTGTTGGGCTATACTGAATTCTCTCAATCCAGTGTTAATTCTCAGACACAGCTTCCATAACAAATCTAAGGATACTAAAAACCACGTACAACATTTATTTCAAATGAATAGAGGTATATAATTCCCCACCTGGGGAACATCACCAAACACCAGATAGCATAGACAGAACCATAAAATGTTTATTTATCATTGTTTTCATGATTATGGAGTAGCGGGGGTGGCTAAGTAGTTTTATACTAAGATTTGAACAAGCCACAGAAAAATATAAACGTTTTCACTACAGCATTGTTACAAACATCACAGCACGTAGAAACAGAACAGGAACAGGGGTACAGTACTGTATGTTGTATAGTATGAAGTGGTAAAATGCAGGAGAATGTCATTGTTTTTTTTTTCTCAGGTATAATTTTAGCTGCCATTTAGAATAATTGCCTCTTTGATTTTTCCACCCTAGACATAAGTCTAAAAAGCCTTCTGGCCACTAGTTAATAATAGAATCTGCAACCAGAAGTAAAAAAAAAGTTTTCAATATCAGCCTGGAATTATGAAAATGACATTCATATACTGCTCCGTGTGCTTTTGGTGTAGAGCTATATTTGCAATTACAAATTCTTTGAAGTCACAATAAGAGTTTTTCATACCAGCTATTAAGATAATAGATCTGTTTTTGCCCCTAGCTGAAAATGTCATCAAAGCTCATAAACAACTGTAAGGCATTATCTATCATTTTAAAAGGAAAATAAATCAAACAAAAAGCTACAAACAAGGCATTGTACAACAGGAGATTAAAAATTGAAATCTTGCTATTTTTGAATAGTGAATTAAAACCACTATTCTTTGTATGCAATGAACCCAATTACTAGAACCTCAACCTATAGTCTGAAAACACTGACAGTGAGCAATTTGTATAGTTTTAATTCAGAAATAAATGAGGATATTACTCAATTTGCCCGTATATACAAGCCTTTCAGCATCGAATAAACTGACATGGCTTCCTGTACAAAGCTAAAAATAAATTACCTGTTAGGTCAGCAAAATCACCTGAAGGGTTGTTTTTATTATGGCTACAAAAATCATGCGGTTGCTTAGATGCAGATGTGGCAATTAAGCCTACTACAGAGTGGCTTCTTCATACTAATTACCTAAATGTGAATCTGCTTAATTTCAGAATTAAGGAGGTTTCTCTCTCACACACACACACTTGCTCTCTCCATGTTAAAGGTGCAATGCACTACTTTAATGTACAGTAAGTGCTGCAGAAAAAGACAATTTGGTCATTGTTCAAGACACAGGGCAGTATCCATAGTCCTGTGTTTTTTTTATGTCTGGCATCAAATGCATTATGCAGTATATGCCAAAGATGTAATATACTGTACACATACTTTGTACAGGAGCTACCGAAATTTGTCCACTTTGTTGTTATTGATGTCATATGTGAATCAGAACTACCGATCCTATTCCTTATATATAACCTTTTTATATAAATAGTTGATATACTGTATAATCAACTGTTTATTGAATTTAAGTGCTGTACTATATTTTAGTTAGGTATTAGAAATGAAACATACACAAGTTATTTTGTTATATTTCTCTGCATATCTATTGTTTACAAAATTCTCTTTAAGAACATAATCCTAGAAACATTTTTTAGGTGTTGTGTATATTGGATTTCATATGTCATATTAACGTCCATTTATAATGCAATTTGCATTAAAAGCAAGTCAGGGTAAGTAAATAGTTATAGTGTCTCTTGTGACCTTGAAAGCTCTGGAAGATTTAGCAGAAACAGACTGTGTGGGCAATTTTATTTTCAGATTCATTGCTGATGGTACCACTGTAAAAAGATGTCACTGAAATGCAAAAATATTTGGTAAAGAATGAGCACACTTTGATGTTTTACCTGTGAAGCACTCTGCCTTTAGGTGCACAAATCCAAAGACCTTAGTTTCAAGACTCACAGATGTTCAAAGTCTTTTTTTTCTGATTTTAAAAAGCAAACTTAAAACACCTGAGGTAACTGAAGACTACAATGGCCTAAAATGCCATTTGAGTTTTCAAGACGTTCTTTCGGTGGAGGTTTCCTATGAATCAGTCATTGGCTGTAACAGAGTGCAAAACACTCTGTGCTGTCAATTAAGGTTTACTTATATCTAATCACCCGGGTGACTCATTTCTTTTTCAAGAGGAAACTTTTCCTTTACGTGTGCTTTTTTTTCTTTTAATCATTGCAGCAGTGCCACTGATATCCTGTACTAATACCATCAGTCCGGAATCAACAAACATCATAAGCAATGCTTTTTTGGAAATCTTAATTGAAATATGGTTGATATTCGTGCATTAGAAACCAAGGATAGATCATCGGTTTAAAATGTTTAAAATCCTGTTAGAAAAAGTCATTCTACACATGGCTTTTGTACTACGTGCAATCTTTTGAGACCGGAGGTTGACCAGTCGCTGGATGTTGTTTAGAGTATTCTAGAGTTGTTTAACCACCACAGCACCTCACGGGTTGCTATGCTACAGGTACTGTATGTCTACCGGGTTTTGTAGAGAAACGATTTTTTTTTAGCACGGTAGCCTGCCTCGGCGATTTGTACCAGGCACTTTATCCCCCATAATGTAAAAATAAACCACATTAGCCTACCACGAAGCGGCTTCCAGACAGAAGTCATAGAAGAGAAGGGAGCCAGACCCAGTGTTTTAACTGCAACTAGGCTCATTAGCAAGTGCGGAAAAAAACAGCAACCGAGTTTACTGCGCGTAACAAAAGATTGCCACCTAGTGCTTTGCTCTAATGCCACGGAAGACGATTTGGCCAAACCTATGCCGACCCTCCAAGCCTTGAGACCACATAATCTAAAAGTTAAAAAAAAATGCATGTCTGCTAAAAAATAGTAAATTAAAGTTTTGTGTCACAGCACAATATTAATGAACTGGCTTAAAAACTGTTTAATGTACAGAGTGGTCCGTTGCTTGAATTTGGCTAATTTTCAAAAATATTTTAACACAAACACCTATGTCTTCAACATATACAACAATAATATACCCAACTTTTTATTTTGTTTATTATATCAAAAACGCATCAGAAGTATTAGAACACATATTTTCACAAACAAAATCAGTATAATAGGGAAGGATCTACGGTGTACTTGCATTTTTAAAACCATGAAAAAATACCATAAAGTATACAAAATTGAAGAATAATACTTCTTTAAATCCTTTGTTTAATTAAATATACTGTGAGTACAGACTTCCAAACCATGTTTCACTGTTGTTCTTCAATTAGGAATCAACAACTAGGTCAGAGCAAAACCAGTTAAAGACACATCCTCTGAGAGGCTCCTGTCTGGCTTAATGCTTATTTTCGCTCAGCAGATCCAGAGCAGGAAGAGCAAGGCCTGAGGCAGAACTGGCAGACAGACAGATCTGCCACTGGTCGCATCCAGTCCCACAGCACATTAATCTTTCCCTTGATGACTCTAATCTGAGCCATCCTGGTGGCCCCAGGTCAAAGGGCAGCTTTCGGCCACTGTTAGTGATCTGCACAGTTTGAGTCCGAACTTTTGGTCTCGAGGATGTAGCTCTCATCACGCCCTCTGGGAGATGACCTTTACCAAATGAGCCAAATGAGTTTGGCTCAGAATATGATCTTGGTAAGCACCAAAAGAACTTGTTTTCCTGACCTTTTCCTTTGCTCTACTTGTAGTGCTGGGGCACTCTGGTGCTTGGAAAAAGCAATCCAGGCTTGTGTCGCTGCGTAAGCCCTTAAATACGCAGGTATTAATGTCTGTTTATTTGGCTCAGGCTAAAGCAGTGCTCTTCTCTAAGGTCTGGCGGGGCCTCATCTTGCAGACAGCGTAAGGCTCCACTTAGTCTGTTAATGCTGTCGTGGCCACTTGCTGGACTGCTTCAGTTTTTTGCTCTCTTGCCAGACACCTACTCTCTCATTCACAGTAACACCTTTGCCTCTGCTATTTACCTCCCACTCTTAGACTCAGAAGCCTCTGTGTTATGTTACAGAGCTTCTTACAGTACATCTAATAAAGCTGCTAAATAATTACAGGCTCTACTGTACCTAAATGTAAAGGACAAGATTTCATTTTAAAATGGTCTCATCTCAGAAAAATAACTCCAGACACAGCCAGTGCCTCATACTTACTGTATGTACAACTGTGCTTTCCAAAAGGAAATATTACTTTTTCTCTGCAATAAATTATACTTGGTTCATGACAAAAATGCAAAAGTTGATTGATTTACATATCCTGCTTTAGCCAATTATTGTGTACAGTAAATGTTTTGTTTCTCAATATGCAGCCAGGTTTATCCTTGAAGTGTTCCCTGTCCATTCTGTCCAGGTCTGTATAATGTCTGTAAGCACATCCAACAGAATTCTGATGGTGTTTGAGAAATTCTGTTACTTGGGGGACAGAACTGGCAATTTTCTCCATTATTGCTCGATCATTTAAAAGTCCCTGAGGCCTATAAAATTGCAAACTGCAAAAAGACGAGCTTTGTTCATCATTTACTATTAGTCACAGGCTTGTTTTTCTTTTAAAGCAACAATTTAACATGGAACCACTGATATTTAGTCGAATGGTTTCACAAGATAGCAACATCCCACATATCCAGCCATCTGTATTCCAATTATGTGCTACTGCATGACTTACAAGCATAAAATTGTTTGGTTACCTTTTGCTTTAAGAAGAACCTCAAAACAAGTGCCACAGAAGTGCTGCATCTTGATTTATCTTGCGTACCTGTCAGGTGAGTCATTCTTGTATATGGATGCGGAGGAGCTGCCCTGGTTAAAATCCTGCTGCTTTATTATAATCTATTGTTATACTCTAATGTAATTAAAATGAGGCTCAGGCTCAGCATTCAACAAAGAACCACAGTGCCATCTATTGTTCAATTTCCAACTTGTTCAATTACAGTGTTACAGTATTTTCTCAAAAAAATGAAATAACAGATAGCTCTTTTGTTAATAATTGCAGATCTTTTACATCACAAAAGCAACATGTTTGATACTTTATTTTTCTTTTGAAGTTTTCAGACACATGGAAATGATGATACATGGTATCATGAGACAGTAACAGATTCATTTTTTATTTGAAGGATGCATTACAAAAATGTGTTAAATAGCCATAGTAAATTACATTCATCTAATGGCTAAGCAGCTGGTAGTATACAAAAGGATGACCTCAAAATACTGTAGATAATATACTGTATGTACAGTACAGTGCTTTGAAAACATATCCAGACCCCTCCAAAGGTGTCCCATTGTTTTAAATTACATAATGTTGCATTCTTGTTTTTTAAACTTAATATTTTATTGAAAACATGAATGCTCAAGCTTCTAAGGGTAAGATAAGTTAAAGTAAAAGTCAGAAAAAAACTAAAGAGAAACAACTGAAATGAGTCGAATGCATAATTTCCAGACCTGTGAACTCAGTATTTGGTGGAAGCATCTTTTGTAGCAATTAAAGCCACAAACCTGTTTGGTTTAAAGATTAAAGATGAGCTTTACTGTAGTTTTTACATAGTTTTATTGAGAGAAGAAACCAAGGTAGAAGAAAATGCTTTCGTACAGTACGTCTTGGGTGGAGCTTCAACGTGCTGACATTGAATCAAAACACATGGAAAAAGCAACCATTGAGTTCATTTGGAGAAAGTAGTGAGAAATGCTAGACTGGCAGGGTCAAACTGGCGATTACTAGCTGAAGAAAAAGTTGAAAATACTCCAACATGAATGTAAAGTGGCTGCAGCAAACCATCTCAAATGATAACTTGGTGAGCTCAACAGGTTACAGATTTCATGCCTCAAAAGGATATGCCACCAAATACTGACTTTAACACTCTGGAATGTACTGAAAGTGAATGTTTCCTGATTCGACGGCCCTTTGAAATAGCTGGGTTGAATACAAATTATGTTTTCTTTCTAATATGATCAAATGTATGCATGGAATCACCCAATAATAATCTGTATATTACATTGTACTTGCCATCCATATTAATCTCATGATCACAAATAAAAAATTGATGGTAAATCCAAAATGACCATATTGACTTTCCTATCCCAGTACATTTGGAGGGTATTGTATGTACCATGTCCCTAAAAAAATAGCCGGTGTAATATATCATATAATTTCCTGGATTCAGCTGCATAATCAATCACAAGAGAGGCCATGGTTTCATTCATTGAATGATTTCCCTATTGCTATGCTCAACACACATTTATTCTCATTTAATTTGTCAACATGCTAATGACACCTAATGCTTTTTCCCCAATAACTGTCAGTCAGCAGACACATTACCTGATGAAAGCGCTGATCTGGCACTCATTGATCTTTCCTCCCCACCCCGGCAATGAGCTGCTTAAAGCTGGCATCCAGGTGTTGTCTGGACCCTATTTCTCTTTCGTTGGCAGTGAGAAGATACATTTCTACCTTGCCAGGCAGTGCCTCCCTTCTCCAGGTGCCAAGGCCTCATCTGCTCCTCAGCAGCACACTTCTTCACCATTGAGCCTGGCAAACAAGCCACAACACAACCCACCTGCCTGGGACCCGTGTTGCACCTTGGTACAACATTCGCTATATTTCCCAAGTTACTTCATAGCTCATTGAGTCCCACAGCCTTGTTAGGCAACTTAGTCTGGCTCTAAAAAGATATCCTAACTACAGGTCCCTATCTTTCTACTTTCTGATCCCATTTGGGCAGGGAAGTACCTCTATAACAAATACGGCAGCAGCCAGTTTTGTGTGTTGTTCCTTCTGAGCTGGAGTCTGGCCACACAGACTGTCTCTCTTCACACTTCTCTTTTATAAGCCTCTTGATTATGAATAGAAGCATGGCTAATTGAATGGAGAATCTATTCTGACAGCTCTTCCCTCACATGGAATTCGTCTCATTCAGTGTTCTACAATCGTCCAGCCCAGGTGAATTCCACAGCTCTTTTCCATTGCTCAGTGGCCATTTTAGCTTATGGCCACTCCTCCTGTGGAGCTAACTCTCCTTGTATTAGAAGGAGATAGTCCTTCAATAGGTGCTTTGGAGATTCTGCTCTACATACAGTAACACATACAGTACAGTACTATGGCAACAAAATTACCCTGCAAAGGAAATTAACTGCATCCTGTATGGCAACAGGATTTCCTGCAAAGAGTATGCATTAATCCTCTCGAAAGCAGTGTGTTTTCCTATAGCCATCTGACACAAAAGGAGAAATCAATCTCGATTGATATTGAAGATGATTTATACATTTAGCATATACTGTATAGAGCTTCCAGTGCAGCTGTGAGGCCAGAGAATAAGGAGATGGAGAAAAGCAGATGGCAGAAAACAGCATTCTATGTCCTGGAGTGTCAGCTGGAGTCGGCCCAGTTGAGCAGCACTACAAAGACGTTACTGACTTTCTTTGACTTTTAGTTCCTTGTGTCATAATCTGGTCATCGTATTTTGTCCCGTATCACCTTTCTTGCTGTCCATAGAGAGGAAAAAAACTAAGCTAATAGCCCTACATCCTCAAGTCCGCAGATCCAGAGAGCAGGTGGGAAACCCACAGGCTATGTGTGAACAAAAGTGATCTTATGTTCCTTTGCCAAAGTGTTGACAGTTCTGGGGCTCATTTGTGGATGAGCACCTCATGCCTTTTAATTGCTACTGCATACCTCCTACTTTGGCAGACACTCAGGTTTAATAGACAAAAATTGAGCTTGAGGGGGCAAACAGTACTGCTCTGTGGCTCAGAAAGCAAACGGACAGCAGGATCTTTCTCCCCCATATCATCAGAGTGCTTGAGAGATGCCTTGAAGGAACCCATATCTTCAGTTGTCACTTCTGAAAAATCACTGATGCTTCACTTCGGTTTGCAGGTCATGGTTCATAAATAAGCTATGAAAGAGTTAATAAAAACACGTTAAACTTTACAATGTAGAGATGTTAAGAAACAAAAACAAAATATTGGAACAGTGACAACTGTCAATTCTTAACCTTCATCTCAGCAGGACTCCCTGGTTTTATTAGGGAAGCAAATCAAGAAGCATGTGCAAAAAAGGGTATTATTTCAAACCTCATTACCCACCAGCCATGGGTGTCAAATGTGTGGTTTTACAGTATAATCATGCACTGAATTTGCAAATCTATTTATACTGTAGAAGCTTGCTAAAACACAGTTTTGACAGTAACTGTGACAGTTGATGATTTTATTTGTCAATTACTTAATTGTTTGGCTATAGTGAAGCATCCACTACCCATCTGATGGAATGAGGGAGGTCATAAACCCAAAATAAAGTGAATGAAAACAGGGGTCCAGATTTTGTACAACATTGCATCTATTATCCAGTCTTCTGTTGCTGGATGAAGTTTAGCTTCATAAATCCAATGCTGAGGCTCTGTTTTTAACCCAGAGACATTTGCTGGAACAGATGGAGCACAGTGTGATTATCTATTTGCACTGCAGCACAGAGACACACATTTCAGTATGAGCCTATGATCATAAGTGCCTAGATACAGTGTACGATTTCAGCAGGATCAATGGTTCTCACTTGGTTTATGTTGGATTGCATCCATCACTCATAGTCAACCATCTGAAGCACAGCATTACATAATAAACATTCCTTTTTGCAGACCAGAACAACGTGGAGGTACTGTATCTAGAAAAAATGAGCACAAATAACGAGACATAAAACCTCAATTCCAGTAAAAAAAAACTGTGATGCCTTTAGTGCCCTGCTAATTTTGTTTGCTGTTACCATGGAGGCACTGAGCAGGACTGCCTAGGTCTTGTAAATAACTGCATCCCCTGACATTTTAGTGCATCTTAAAATATGTATGAATGCATGGTCGCCTACCTGCTACTATCAGAATAATTAACAGGATGTTCTGAAATTGGTGTCTGTGCAGCTGTCATTTAAATATTTCTAAAAATGATAAAAGACATAACAAGAATGCATATATAGATAAATTAATAACTTCACTAATTGTGGTAATATTTATTTAATGTTTGTACTGTTTTATCAGATCCAAGGTTCAAAAATTGCAATTGTAGATGTTTTTGAAATTACTACTCTTAAACTATCTGCAAGTTGTAAGACTGCAGCTGTGCACAGCCCTGACATTACAATAGCAGGGTTGGTTTGGAATGAAAATGTTTGCCTGTTCATCACTCATTTCATTAATAGACTAAGTTTTATTAACATACCCTTTTCTTGTTATCCTTTTTTAATAATTTTTTTCTCAAATTTAGAATTGTGTGCTATTTTTATTGCCAAACCGCTCAGTTTGGAATCAGAATTTTTGTCTTGATATCTTGGCTCACAGCAATGGCTTGCGTGCCAACACTGGGAGAGTGAAAAAGTGAATTCCGGCCACCCAAACCTGCTGAGTCATTTTTCGGCACAATACAATCTCTGCAGAAACATACAGTACAAGGAGATCAGTGCTGATTATAGGTGAGGCAAATCCCTCGCTGACATTCCTGATATCCTTTTTGCCAATTAAGGAGTCAAAGAGATTACTATTTATCTTAATACCGGGTCCTGGACAACTAATTCCAACCTAACCCAAATCAGGAAAACCCTCTGGTGACACCTACTGTAAACAACTGATTGCTTGGGCAATCACAGTTAAAGTCATCTTGCACTACCACCTAGACTTAAAGGTGAGATGTCAGAATGTCATGTCAGAAACATGATCTGACCAACTCAGAGAGAGCTCTTTACAAGTCCATTCTCTGAGAAACCCAAATTTAACATTTAATCCAGTGTTTCAAACATAGTTGTTGAACAAAACCAAAAGAAGCCAGAAC